AAGAAGGAAAAAACAATTTGCACACAATTATGAAAGTAGTTTTTCGAGTGATAATTTCACACTAAAAAAATAGTTTTTATAATTATTTTTAAGTTATAAATTTAAGAACAGTAAAAAAAATTTAGCATTGTAAGTCATATACATTTTAATATCATTTTTATGAATACAACTTTAAATGGCAGATTCAAAATTCGAGCGGAATCAGAGAAGTGAAAATTTAAAAATGCGACTTTTTTAAAACTTCTTTACTAAAAAACTACAGTTTCATTCTAATTTTCGATAGTGGCCTTTAAAATGTTTTGACTATCATTAAATTAAGTAGTACTAAAAATTTAATTTTTACATTGAATTATTTTTGAATAATCGTGTTTCATAATTATGAGCAAAAATTATTTGTTTCCCTTAAATATTTTCAGAGATAAGTTGAAGCAGCAAAAATCGAAATTAACATTAAAGGGTTGAAAATTTTGGCCACTCTTTATGCTTAACAAGCGGGGCCATATTTTAAAGACAGCCGCCATCACCATAGTTTATGCGTCACTATTCAAAATCTATCACAAAAAAGCTGTGTTTATTCACAGGAAGTACGTTTATGTATCTGATTCTACAACTTCAATTATTTTTGGTACAAATTAATTTAACCATGAAACGAATTACTGCTTTCATGACTTAAAAGCTTATTAATATAGCTTATAAAAATCATTTATCTAAAAATAATTTTGAGCACAAAAATATTTAAGAATTGTAATTTTTATCATTGATTCTATTAATGTTCGAAATAACTTTAAATGTTGTCATAATTTTAATATCACTACGTTACACAATTTTAAATAGCAACATAGAAATTTTGATCCTAATCAAATCAGTTGAAAGATTCATGAAAAATAAAAAAAAAAGTCGAGTTCTGAAATTTTTATTTCTCGGAAAGTTTTATTTGATTTCGTTGAAACATTGGATTTTGTTTACCATAATATCAACTTTTTTATACCTTATAATTCAAACAGTTTCGATATTCCATCATTACTAAATTGAATAATAAAAATGGATACAATTATTCGATTGATGATAGCAATATATTTTATATCGAATGTAGCAATATATTTTATAACAATGCTAACCATCTAATTATGAGTCTTAAAAAGTTACTTTCATGTTGGAAACTTAAAAAAAACAGAGAACATTTAAAACAAATGAACAAAGCTGTTCATCACGCCTTAAAAACCATTTCAGCTTAGAAATATCACGATGAGGAGTTATTCTACCGTTTTGGTAGGAGATAGTACTGAAAACTGTGAATAATTTATTTCTTGGAAGGAAAAAAAAAAGAAACAGGTGAAAGAGGACTGTGCTAAACTTCCTACAATATGTCCTTGAGAAGATGTAATAAAAATCACCATGTGGAGGGAAGATAAACTATAAACGCAAGTCTTTACGGCTCAGAGGGTAGAGCAATAGCTTTCCAATTAGGTGAATCGGCTTCGAATCCCAGCTATAGCTGCTTGATACGAATTCCGCATCCGGCTTGCATCGGCCACAGCGCTGACGTAAAATATCTTCTGGGGTAGACGGATCATGGGTTAGCGTCTCCTTGCCGTCAAGCTAACCGTGAGAGGTTTTCCTGGTTTTCCTTTCCATGTAACTCAAATACGGGTTAATTCCCTCAAAAGAGTCCTTCACGAAAGCAAATTTCTCCCAATGTTTGATCCAGGAGTTCCCTTGTCGTCTGGATTCCGTTCAAAATTACAAGGCTAGAACTCTTTTTGGGCTTGTGTGTTTCGTTATCGATGGTAAATCTTCTGACATTTTGCTACGCTCCTGACTGTGCTATAAATTATTATTTATCGTTCTCCAAACTACATTTGCTAATGCAACGGCTCCCAATTTTTTTCGACTACGGAATTCTATATAATCAACCTCTTTTTGGCGGAGCCTCGACTTAAGTTTATCAAATATATTGGCACACAAGGCTATATATATTGGCAATTTTACAAGCCATTATCTTGCAATATAGTTTAACGTAAATCACGGGTCTAGAAATTTCCCGTTTAACAATCTAGAAACATGCTTCTTTATAGCATCTTTGAGTACGCAGCCAACTATTTCTATCATAAATAAATCAATAAATATTTTTGCAATCATGTGTGACTTGTGACTTACCAGCTTGACGTTCCTGTTACTTAATAGGAAAGACGTTCGTGCTGCGTTTTCATTAAAGGTTTTGGCATAGTCCTGAGTCTTGGAACCCCTGTTTCCTTTCCATGGAACCGTAGGATTCCGCGGAACACCATTTGGGAACCGCTGTGCTATTGAATCAAAAGGCTTAAGTGTGAACTATTTTGGCATTGATCACTGTGTCATGTATGCCTGTTAGCCTGTTTTTTTTTTTTTTTTTTCAAGAATACATATTGAATTTAGTAATATCCAAGTAAAGAAACTAAAAGAGCATTCACATTGCATGCGATTGCTTTAGACGTGCATGTGAATGTTTATTAAATATATATAAGGCGAACTGCTTATGCATGCCCGAATCGCATAAACGAATAGCACGCAGTGTGAAAGCTCCATAAGGATAAAAATAATCACAGCAGAAATTCCATTAAAAATGGAGAAGTTAACGATTCGTACGCCACAAAACCTATCGATCAATGTAGTGACGCTTTCAGGAATTATTTTTGGAATTGTAAAAGCGCCACTCCAGCTCTGAAGTTATACGCACGCTTGAAGCGAGTCAGACTTTTACTACGGGTGGCGTGATTAGTTGTTGTTTATTTACGTAGTACTAGGGGCTATTGGTGACGGTCTAGGAAACATCCCTGAGAATGATCCGAAGCCAAGTTATCACAATTTTGATCCTCCTGCAGTGGGGATGGTATTTCCACTTCAGTATCTCGACGATCTGCGTGCGAAGTCGAGCACTTCATGGTAGAACAGTTTCACGAGGACCAATACCGCACAATCTCGGTCCGTTCACATTGTGCTCAAAGTCAGGCTTTCCGCAGACTGACCGCAGACACGAGGCGTGATTTAGAGATAGTTTCGAAAATAAGAGTAAATTTTTCATTAATTAAGAGAATACAAATTAAAACTAGCGATATTTAGAACTAAAATGTTGGTAAAAAAAACATTAAAAAAAGTTTTCAATTAAATAAAAATTTCCTCTATAATTTTAAATGGCTTATAATCTAGAGTTCATAAATAAATAATTTATGGCTACCAGACGGAAATCACACTCTATTGGCAATCGAAATGGGCTGCAGGTGGCGCATAGCAGAACTCTTTACTTATGGCAACATGACGCATGCTTTTAACTTTCTCGTGTAAGCACGTCATGGGACTACGAAGTGTCTTGATTCTTCAAAAAGAGAAAAAAAAGTTTTAGATTGGAAACTATATGAAACTCAACACAGTGTTTAAATTAAGTAGTGAAAACGTAGTGTTTGAATTAAGTATCCTGAAGAGTTTAAAATATATTTTTGACAGTCTAATTGAGAAAAGTATTATAAAGGGAAAGCCCCGTTATATATTTCCGTACATCTGAACAAAAGGGGGGGATGGAGACTCTATACATGAAACCGGTGCTCAAAAGACATGAGTTAATAATTTTACATTTTCATAATCTCTTTGCGATTTTTTTAAAGTATTTTTTGTGCTCGGTAGGATGTTTTTTATTTCAATGTTTATATTGAATTTACCTTTGTTGAATTTTATACTGTATTCTATTTATGATATTCAGTTTTATATTTAATTTTTTGACATTCAATTTTTTGAAAACAGAACATTTGGTATTAGTAAATAAGTTTTCCTTGCTTTGTCTTGCCTAATTATCGATGTGTCTAGCCAAAGGAAACTGCAATGTAAAAAAAAAAATATTGTATTATATAAATAAAACTAAGGAAAGGAATCATGCTTTAAAGCAAACAATAATTCAATAATAACAACAAAAAAACAATTGTTCCATAAATTTATAAATGATTTTAAAAATAAATCATTTAATACAATTTTATCGACATTTTTAACTTTACACGATTTACAATTATGAGTTATATTGCTTAAATTCTAATTTATACATAAACTAAAAAATCATTTTATTTAGCTTTTTTTTCTTCATTTAATTAGTTTTTTTATGCCAAGAATTAAAAATTTATAAATTAAATTCAAAATTTTTCAACTCTTTGCTTATTAAAGAAGAATCATCCAAAAGATAACTATTCCATATGATGAGAAAAGTTGAAGTTACTCCCAGTAGCTTAAGGTTATTTACCAGCATCTAAAGAAAATATCTATGCATTTTTTTTACGTTTTATTAAATTAAAAAGTGATGACCTCTCTCTCTCTTCACATTTATTTATACAAAAGTAAAAGATTACAGCTGTACAAAAAATATAACAAAAACAGTAAATTATACATTGCATACACATTGTTGTTGTTGTTAATTTACGTCGCACTAGAGCTGCACAATGGGCTATTGGTGACGGTCTGGGAAGCATCCCGGAGGATGATCCGAAGACATGCCATCACAATTTTGATCCTCTGCGGAGGGGATGGCACCCCCGCTTCGGTAGCCCGACGACCTGCGCGCGAAGTCGAGCACTTAAGGGTAGCACAGTTTAACGAGGACCAATACCGCACACCCTCGGTCCCTACGCCAAGTGGTCACCCACCCGCACACTGACAGTAGCCAGTGATGCCATTTCATACACATATAAAATATTACAAACAGTACATAAAGCATTATAAAATTTGCCGTGATTTTTATGGCATGCCAAAAAATCAGAACAAAAACCCGATTGGCGAATTTTTTATGGATATATATTTCTCACTTATTCGGTTCTCATTCATCCAGTGAGAATGAACTTTTAACTCAGTCTTTTGTTGCTACTAGCGCCACGGCACCTCTGAAGTAAAGATGTGTCATTGGTTAGAACTATTTTGCGTAATTAATAGTTGAAGTTGAAGTTTTAGTATTTGGTTGCTTCTGTTTTAAAAGTAATCTCATAGTAAAGAGGTTATAAGAAATTTTTGAGACTATTTCAATCTTCTGAGTAATTATATCACTTTCGTTTTAAACATTTGTTTATATTTCGGCGATTTGAAGAATCTTCTAAAAAACAAGTGTATGCTAGTGTTGATTAGAAATAAGTAAGATTTTAATAGAATTAAAACTAGTAAATTAATATTTTTTTTTGCTTTAGTCTGGGTAAGTTATTTCAATTATTGATTTCTTTAAGTGGCATGAAATGTTGATTCTTTCATTCAATTGCTTATTTTCTAACAGCTTTAATGAGAAAGAGAAATCAGTATTCTTTAGATATTAGTGTAAACATATATTTAGATTGGAAAAATAAAAATGAAGCTCTCTGTATTTAATTCAAAACAATCTATAATATTATAATTAAACATATTGAAATTCATTTAGGCATGTTACACCGTTACTGAAGAATTCACTTAACTATGCCAATGTTTTTTCACACTTTCATGCATAGGAAAAAAATTTAAATTTTTGTATTAAGAAGCTTGTCCAGAGTAACAATGTTTTCTTTATAATGTATGTAGCTTTCAATTTTGGTATTCATTGAAAGAAACAAATGAAGGATTAAAATAAGTATATTGTTTCTACATATTTCAGCAGTACAGTGAAGTGAATATTATTCTATTATTACAATATTTTTTCATAATATATATATCTTTATAGATACGCAGTCTTCTCTTTTTGGTTTAACTCTTCCCTGTGGATATTTCCCTTTCTTGATCTGTCATTTAAATTTAAAGGTGTACTAACTGTTTAATCATAAAGATTATTGAGTATCGTTAAGCATTGTTAAGTATCAAGTTCTCCCCAGTTTGTTTTACTCATTTATATAAATAAAATAAATCTATGTGAAAGGAAATTTTATTTAATGGCGTACTGTGCTGTTGCCAAAGGTGCCAATGTAAGTCGGGAAGCAAAAATTGTTTGAGCAACGTGTTAGAAATTTTTAATTTGTCCCTACAAATTAAAAGCATATCTTTTCCAAAAGATTTAACACTTTGAAAAATGCTTGAAACAAGAAGAAAGTGTATTCTGACATAAAGAATATAATGGAAAGTCTCTTCAAATGAGGTTATTGAAGTTAAGAGGATATTGTCTAATCTAGAAGAAATGTACTTCTTATCCAAAAAGGATCCTTCTTGTTTTTTAAACAGCATTAGAGCTGCATTCCAGCATAAACATAGATACTATCTGGAAAAAATATTATTTTTCAACGTTAATTAATAAACTGTATTAGGGACCAAGTTACATAAAATTTTCATTGCATTTAAAAAAACAAAATATTTTTTGCAAGAACTTTATGCTTTTCTACAAATAGTGAACAATTCAAACTTTTGTAACTCTAAGTCATTATGTTGTGATTGAGGCGCACTGTGTTGCTATTTTGTCACTTTTTAAGAAATTGTCATTATTACATTTATTGTAATTGTTGCATATTATCAATTAGTATATTATTTTTACAATTTGTATCTAATAAAGATTAGGAATTTTTATAGATATGGAATGCATTCTGGAAGTTTGTGTAGATAATATTGAATCGGCTAGAAAGGCTGAAGCTGGAGGTATTTTTTTCTAACATTATTTTTAAAGTTCATTTAATCAAATAATACATATCATAATGTTATAAATGTTATTTCACTGTAAAATTCAATTAATTGCAATTAAAATGGATTTTAATTGTTTGTAGAAATGTTCAGAAGGTTATTTTTTTACGTAAGACATAATAGAATAACTTGCAGTTAAGTACTGCTAACTTTGTTTAAGTTGTTGGGGTTTTTTTTTTTAGCATTTTACTTCATAGTCTTATGTTACTTCCTAAAAGCATGATGAAGAGTATTTTTTATATAAATCAGGTTTTTTCTTTACATTATTTAAATGTACGATAAAAAAAAAGTGAAACCTTCCTTTCACATTTTAAGATTCAAAATGGATTTTTAATTGAAGGTAATTTACATGTTCTAGTGCAAGGGCTTCCAACTGACAGGCTGCATAGAACCAAGATTCTTTGCCGTCTGAGAAGCAGTATATATTTTTTTTTTTGTGATGATCTGTATCAGTTTCCCATACTTTTCATTTGTGAACAAATTTGATTTCTCTAAGTTTTCTTGTTAATTAATGTATCTATGAGTGTACTGTTTTACTCCTTCCCCTTACCCAAATGATTCTTTAATTTATTAACTAAAGATATTATTAACTAACTTTTTTATGTAAGCTTCTGCCCTTTTTTTGTAGTTTTTTAAGGATTTATGTAAATTTAAAATGTGAATGCTTGTTATCAAAATAAAATTACTTTTCTCTGAAAATATTTCTATTGGGTGATAAATTGCACTAATCTTTTTTTTTTTCTTTTTTTTTGTTATTCAATACTTTGTTAATTCCGATCAAGACCGTAACTTTTTCTTCCAAAAAAAGAAATAATAATAATGTCTTGAGTATTTCCATGTAATTTCGATTCCCCATTTGTAATTACTTACTTTTCTTAATGTTAGTATTTTTTTTTTTTTTTTACTTTGCCTGTAATTGCCACAAAATGAATTTGATGAAAATTCATTTTGTGGCAATTACAGGCAAATATGTGGCAATTATAGGCATTTTACGTAATACAGATGTATTACGTAAAATGCCTATATAATTTAAATACATTCAAGGCCGTTTTTAGAAGCTCTGGACCTTTCTATATTTGACAATCTATTTTAATAAGCAGAAAAAATTAAATGTTAAAGTTTTTTCAGACATTATTTTATAATAACAACAAAAACTAATGTAATATTTTTATTATGAAGCTTTAATATATTATATTAAAAAAAGTTTCGAGACAATTTTTAAAAAAAAAAATATTTTGGTGCCGATGGGTCTTGATCTGAAAAATTGATTTCCTGCAATGAATTGTCTTCAATGCTGAGCATTTTTGTGTTAGCTTCATAAAAAAAATAAGCGTAAAGTTATTTATTTTTGTTTAAACCTTTCATTTTCTGAATTCTCTTGTACAACAGTAATCTGTATTTTTATTAAATTTATCTTATTTGCCTATTCAATTTAAGAGACCTTAGTAAACAATTCTCTTTAACACAGGGTTGGGTTTTTGACGTCAAAAAGTGGTTTTTGACATGACAAGGGTATGGTATGATACTGGTTTAAACCGTCAAAAACTGAAGTTTGCCTAGAAAATATATAAACTTCAAAACTACCAACAGTTGCCATGCATTATATTGAAATTTAATTATACTACAGGTAATCAGTAGGGCTGGACGATATAGAAATTTCTTAAATCGATATAATCAACCCTTTTATATCGCGATATTAGGTTATATCGATTTAACAATCTAAACGACAAAACTAAGAAATAAATCCACAGTACCCCTTCCTCTATTCAAATGTATTGTTTGTTTGTTTTTTTAACTCACTTACAGTCAACTCCTAGTCCACAGAAATTTTGACAAAGTTGTTCTGATTATGAATAATTTTTTGCAGATATTCAAAAGCTTATTTAAATACTACAATTTACTAATTTTACTCTGTAACTTTTCACTAAAGGTATTGGAGAATATTGTTTACCTTTTTCTTTTGCATTTATTTTATTAGTAAAAAAAATTAAAAACTTTCACTTTCTCTGTACATATATAAATAACTATACATTAATATTTTTATTGAAAATATGCTTAAATGAACTAAGACTAGTTTAAAATTCATCATCATGCCTGCGCCCTAGTTTTTAGATTGCACCTGGAAATTTCCCATTCCTATCATAATTTTTTTACTTTAATAAAAAATATACTT